AAATCTAGCATCAGAATATCTACAAAATCTCCGAATATCGCTTAGAAGAATTCTGTTGCATGCGCCCCCTATCCTAGATGACATGGTCTCTTCTTACAAAAGCTCTTCTCTTTTGAGCTTGCTTTTACACATAGACCAGAATTGTTCAATTGGGCCGAGCTCAGGGGAGTAAGCTGGAAGATAAACACCATCATAACCGCGTCGCCCAATATATTTTCTTATATCAGCATTCATGTGAATGGGAGCGCTATCCATAATAATGTAATTCTCCTTAAATTGTTCATGCTGATCCAAAATGTCAAGGGTACTTGCAATGAAATTGAAATAGTGTCCTGCCACTGTTCCAGCTTTCGCATTTCTAGCCGCCTGAATACCGCCTGCTTTTTTTCTCTTCTTCGAGGGGACAGGTACCCTTGGTCTTCGTACCTTGACGTTCACTACACCATAAGGAGAGATAGCGCCCAAAATAGTTATCGTCTTGGGTACGACCACAACAGCACGGCTTCCTTTTTTGTACCATGCTATGGGGCGCTTCATGTTTACATGGAAAGCTGCCTCGTCAATAAAGGTACAGTTGCTCATGAAATCAAGGTCTGTTTTCTTCAATCGTATCTTTCCTGAATTTTTTCAGGACTGTTTCACTCCATTGAATGGAAGTGTGCTTTCTTCAAACTGATTCTACACTTTTCGGTTACAATGTTGTATAGAGCAGTTTTTGAAATTGATAGATCCTCAAACTGGCTTGTCAAACCGTCCATCATTTCTTCCAAAACCAAGCTCGGCTTATCATCAAGTTCTTACAAGAACTGCTCATGTTCTACTTTCAAGATCAGCAGTCTTCCCACATGCTTGCCACTTCCCTTTCGTCTTTCGATCACTTCGTCCGGATTTTGACTTTCTTTTTTACACCAGCTTTGAGCGGTTGTCTCTGGAATTTTAAGGATCCTTGTTGTTTCTCTTATGCTCATGTTTTTCTCGTAAATAAGGAAAAAAAAACTCCCCGCTCTTTATCCTCAGGTTTGCAGCGTCTGTAGGTCCTCTTACCATTTTCGAACGATTGATTATTAGTCTTAGACTTATCGAGTAGCTTTTCTTCTTTCTGTTGTTCTCTTTTCTCAGGTGATTTTACATCGAGATATTGGTTAAAGTTTGTTACATATTCAAGCGGGTAAGCTTCGTCATCTACTTCCATATCGACCGTAAAAACTTCATTTCCGTGGCCATCTAGTATGTTTTCTTTTCCATCTTTGCGAATAAAAGAGTCCATTTTAATAAATTGAACAAAATGTGAAAGAAAGAGTTCTTGCACTGCACGACTTTTATTTTCATTTAGTTCTTTTAATAACCGAAGTCGTACATGCCAAGCATCGCCGCGGACACGTCAAAGTCAAGAGGTTGTGGTGGATGATCAATCATCGTTCAATTTTGAATTGTTTGAGTGGAGTGATAAAAGTGTTATGGTAACAGGAAGGAGTTTCGATAGTATTGGACACGTCAATGGTCACATATTTTGCAGTCGTTGTAAAGTTGCGTGATCGTTCATACTTTGATTCAAAAGAAGTACTAAAAAGCTTTTATAAAATGATTTGCCTAAAGTCAGTTTCATCCTGGCACTCAAGCCCTATTTATTGATTGTCGTATCCGGTAGGAAAAGTGGGATCGGCTTTGGACGAATTACGAACTTATTAAAACCTTGAAACACATATCATGGCAAAGCGCTACCGATGACAACCGTATAAAGGTGATACCCGTATACTGAATTGCCATCTCACTTGGGTCGCCGCAGGTAACCTGAAGCATACTCTTGGTTGAAACAACTTTGACACAGCTAAGCTATGTCGTTACCGACCAGAGATTCCCTAACCATGATATGGGTAAAAAAAAAATAAAGCAGTGAAGATACATGAGCATACAGCAAAAACAAAGAAAAAAAAAGATGAGTAAATATTGAGCATAAGTTTGTTATACCGTGATTCTTACTTCGCTTCTTCTCAAACAAACCCACATCATGGCAAAGCGCTACCGATGACAACCGTATAAAGGTGATACCCGTACACTGAATTGCCATCTCACTTGGGTCGCCGCAGGTAACCTGAAGCATACTCTTGGTTGAAACAACTTTGACACAGCTTTGACACAGCTAAGCTATGTCGTTACCGACCAGAGATTCCCTTGTCACGAAAAAGATGGTAAAAACAAAAAATTAGCAAAAGGAAAAATAATAAACAACGTTTGTGACTGGAGGATGACGTAAGGAATTTTGGAAGGGTGTAGCAGTTTCCCTTTTTGAGAACTTGGAAGTTGCCGGTCTTATCACGTTTAGACGCTGAGTTGGCCATAAGCCAACTTTTCTTAAATGTCACAGATTTCTTATCCAATATAGAACTAGTTTTCCCGCTTCAAGTGCAAAGTAAGGGTTTCAAGAACGCTTCACAAGGCGAAGAGACTTTATTACCAAGTCAAAGTTTGTATCTTCAGCCCCAGAAACGTTCAAACTGTCTACCGATAAGCAGCCACCCACAACACCTTCCCTTTTTTTTTTTTTGAGAGAGAGAAAGGCCTTTTTATGTTCCTTTTTTTTTTCTTGAATTTCTGTTTCAAAAAAATGGATTTTGAGAAAGGGAAAGAGAAGCGATCTAGGAAGAAGTTTGAAGGACAAGAAGGTAATATTTCTTTTAAAGTACCAAATTTTAAAGAATTTTTTCTTCTAGAACTGGAAAACTACATCAAAACCGCAAAGAAACCACGATTCAACGACTTCGTGGCCAAAAACGTCTCGCAATTAGTGCATTGGTCCTTGGACGAGAATCGTGAAATAAGCGAGCTGTTTTCACTTTGGAAAACGCGGTTTGCTTTAACATTCAAGGAATTCGGCAAGATTCCTAATGCAGATACGTAAGTATACTTCAAACTGCCTTGGTTGTTGTTACTGACTTTGTTTCATTCAGGTTCAAAGGATCTTGTGACACTACTTGGAAGGATATGAAGAAATTGATCGATTCCACCGTAAGAAAAAAGAAAAGAGTTATATGACTTTTCGCCTTGACCCCGTTAATGCTGAGAACTTTTGAATCAATTAGATGAAAACAAAACTGACATACAAGATTTTGAGCATGAAATCGTTGCAGACAACCGCAGCTTTGACCGAATCAACCTTTAACATTGCCGTGGCAAGTGAATCAACAAATCAAGGATCGTCTGCCTCAGCATCGTTATCAAACTTTTCCCCGACAACGCCTCCAACCTCTTCTGCTGTACCTTCCCTGGTAACTCAGCATGAATCGGATTTTGTCTCTTCTGCCCATCAATCCGACAAGAGCGATCGTGCAAACACAAATGACGACGACGATGACGATGGCATTTTTGATATCGAACACTTTGTTCATGACATGACCTATAAATCGGTAAAAAAAGGACTGATTCTAAGAAACACAACACATGACATACTGATATGCCGTTTTTCTGCTTTGGTTTCAGCATTTGGGATACACAATTTCCTCGAAACAGGCACGGAAATTGGTAGAGATAAAGGATGCGATCGACACGGATATGGTTTCGACAATGATGAAAATAGGTGCCCACATCTTGACAAAACAATTGACAAAAACCACGCTCTCGGTGACTGAAGAAGCTTTGTTGGAGTTATCGATTTCGAGGATCATCAATATGCTGAATACTTCAATGCAAGATACCTATCGAGAGTTTTTCTCACAACATCAGTGGGCCCGTATCCACAACGTCGTATCGGCATTGAATCTGGATAACTACGATGGCTTATCACCGGAATCAAGTGCCCTTTTCGATGTCATTGTTCATGCAGGTGACAATATCTGTGATATTATCGCTTTTATTGACGAGAAAAAATGGCAAATATCGAAAACGAGATGCCAACAACAAAGTCAGCCCTATATCCTACTCCTCATCATGGAGCACATCGTGCGAAATTTGGAACGCTGGTCGAAGAAAGCCGATGAATCTGAATTGACTTTCTATCGCAGATTTGCAACCATTTTGGAGTTTGTTTTTGATTACACAGATGTGGCATTGGTGGACGGTGATAACTCTTGTGAGGCAACCAAAAATGTAGCCCATTTGAACAAGGCAATCTTTATCCCCATGCAGACAGCACCAGTGTATGGAAAGAAAATCGATCTTATGCTTAGATACGATGGCAACATGAAGATCGAATTATCTTCAAACGAATGGAAACGGTCAAGAGTTCAAGAAGATTTGAAACTAAAACAGCAATCAAAAAATTTGCGCACGAACGCAGCGGTTCTCAACCATCTCAACAGCCATTGTTCAAACGACATCAGCGAACTGTTGGCGATGGATTTCATCGGTATATATGATGATTAGTAGACGCAATGATAATCGATGACTGACTTCTAATTTTGACAGGTAATGTTGGTTATTTGTACATGCTGAAATTAACCGAAGATGGTATCTATGTTGCATCTCTGCTTTCCAAGCTTATCGTTCCCAAGGATCTTTCCAACCTCGATATGTTCAAACAAACATTGGACTATCTCTTCAAAACGAAAGACGTTTCTGCTAAACACCACCAAAATTCTTAAACGAGCTTTATTTCAAAAAGAAGTCAACCAAGTGATACCAGCATTGCCAGCACGAACAAGCTCTTCTCATCGCTTGTCGCGTACCTCTGCTGGTCATATTTACTTGGCACCGAAAACAAGCCAAATCAAGAAAACGAACCTAAATGATTTTCCTTACGACGAATGATACACATAGCTGTCTTTTCTGTTTATTTGTTATTTGCAATAAAATTCTCGTCACAAAAAAATGTGGACACTTTGGCTGATAAAAATTCAGAGAGCATGGCCTTCGTGAATCTATTTCATTGGTTCGAGTTTTGCCATGTTAATCCTAGTTCATTGATATACGTCAGCTTCACATACTGTGTTTTATGCGCTGTATGGTTGGGCGACGCGGTTATGATGGTGTTTATCTTCCAGCTTACTCCCCTGAGCTCGGCCCAATTGAACAATTCTGGTCTATGTGTAAAAGCAAGCTC